ATCAATGCTGGATAGTTTGCAGATCTAAATATGAATGATAAAGCAATAAAGATCTTAGAGAAAACCTTAGGAGAATGTGGTCATCATCTTTTTCTCTTACAAATAGCACCAAAGGCCCTAAAAGAAAAAAAATGAGAAGTTGGAACATGTTAAAATTCTGTATTCCGAATTTCACTACTAAGAGAGTGAAAAGCTAACCATAAAATGTGAGAAGATTGTCTTCATACATATCCTGGCTAAAGACTCACACCTAGGATGTATAAGGAACTCCCAAAACTCAATAAGGAAGAGACATAATTCAATAGGAAAAAGAACCAGGCAACAGAATGAAGAACTACTTCACAAAAGTGTGTATCCAAACGGCCAGTAAACATGCAAAAAGATACTCATCTGCACGAGTCATTAAACAAATGTAAAATAAAACCGTAATGTGATACCACTCTACACACACCAGCATGGCAAAAATTAAGAGGAGAGAAAGTATTTTGGCAAAGATGCGGAACAAACAAAAGGAACTCTCTTGCACCATCTGTGGGAGTGTAAGCTGGCATAATACCTTTGGAAAGTTCTTTGTCATTATCTACTGAAGCTTGCTATTTGCATGCCTGCTAACCTACCAATTCTATATCTAGTTATATACTCTATAACCAGGTTTTGATGAGAACCTGACTGGAGCAAACTTAAAAAAAAAAAATAAAGGAAAATAAGGTTGTTGAGAAAGTGAGTGTGGCCACATTTTTAAAAATGAAAATATTTTCCAGGTAGCACCTAGAAAATAACCAGCATCTGAAAGAAAATATAGGGCCAAAGGAAGGCATTTTTAAAATGCTTTTGAGACAGGGTCTATGCTGTGTTGTCCAGGCTAGCAGGCACTCACAGCTTATCACAGCCTCAACCTTTGGGCTCAAACAATCCTCCCACTTCAGCCTCTCGAGTAGCTGGAAATACAAGCATGCACCACCATGCCCAGCTAATTTTTAAACTTTTTATAGAGAGAAGGTCTCCCTGTGTTGCCCAGGCTTGGGGTATATTTTTAATGGAAGATATTATAGCAATTTTTTTTTTCTGATGAGAATGATTTAGTAAAGAGGAAAAAAAAACAAGTAATGAGGAGAATGGGGGATCATTGCAAGAGACAAGTCCTCAAGTGGACAGATAAGAAGCATTGGAATACAGTTTACCCATCTGGCTGGGTTAGGAAACTGTTTATCTGCATAAAAGATAATTATAATTTTTTAAGAGAAAATTGATTAAAAGCATGGAAGACAGAAAAGAAGGGACAGATATGCAAAGAATGAACACATGGAATCAGCAGTTTGGTCCTTCAGTCCTTAGGTCTGAAAGGACCTGGAGAGGAAGATCGTCCAGAATAGTAGTTCGCAAGCTTGAGCATGTATCAGAATCATTTGTAGGACTTGCTAAAACACAGGTTGCATTGCCCAGGGCCCAGTCCACAGACTTCTAACCCAGTGGAGCCAGGACTGAATCTGAGGACTGGCATTTGTAACACATTCCTAGGGGTTGCTGGCACCGCTGGCTCCACTGTTCCTGAAGGTATTGCCTGAGTTCCAGGAGTATCTGCATCACCTAGAAGTTTGTTAGAAATGTGGAATGTCTGGCTCCATTCCAGACCTACTGCATCAGATAATGCATCTTAACGAGGGGTTTATTTGCATGTTGATATTTGAGAATCACCATTTAGGACAGTGTTTTTCAGCTTTGCCTGAGGTGATTTCAACTTACAACTATGAGAAGTGAGAAGAGCTGGTTTAGGATAACTCCAGGCATATTGTCTGCATGGCTAAGTGAATGCAAAGATGTATGAGGAAGAGAACGTGTGTACAGGTTGACAGCATTCCATTTTTGACATATATTTGAGAGTTCCTTTGGGACATCAGATGAAGCTATGCAGTTGAATATTTAGATCTGAAGTCCAGGAGAAAGATAAGATATTGAGTTACAGATTTGAGTGTCATCAGCATGGAAGAAATAATTAAAGTTGTGGGTGTTGAACATATCAGCTCAAGAAGATGAGAAAAATAATGGGAACAGCAGATGACCAGGGATAGGGGAAGAGGAAACTACAGAGGAAATGGGAGAAGAGTAGGGCAAAAGGTTTGGGCACAAGCCTGGGATGGATGCCGGGATGGGGAAGCTAAGGACAGAGAGAGTTTTAAAAAGAAGGGAGGATTAATGATGTTTTATTCCTCAGAAAAGTCCAGTAAGAGAGACTGAGAAGTATCAGTTACTTGACAGTCAGGAGGTCACAAGCGGTCCTGACACGTGAAGGTCAGGGAAAGGGTAGCTGCAAATACACAGAGGCAGAGGTGTCCCCAGTAAGCAGGAGACACAGAAGGGGAACATCAGATATTGACAAGATTTCCAAGAAGCTGAGAAGTACAGAAAAGACCAGAGAGAGCTCTAGAAGGAGGTTGACAGTGGAAGGTGAGTTTTCCACACAGAGAAGACTGGGATCTTGCCACTTGCCTTGGGAGAGAGCTGGTGATGAGGCAGGGAGTGACTACTGAACCAAGCTGGCAGGAGCATGGGATTCAGGACATTGTTGGAGCTTGGCTTCAGGAGGAGCCAGAAGGTAGATATGAGTATAAGTGAATTTTTGGTTGGAGGGAATTTGTACCTCATAGACTTCATTTTCTCTAGGAAGTAGGGGTCAAAGTCATTTACTCGGAGGGAATGCAGGACGGGTTTTGAAGATTTTTTTAAAAATTTTATATACTTTCACAACAGATTAAAATCCTTTAATCTGTATGTAAATGTCTGATTATACCTAGACTTTATTATGTATAAGTTATTCATTATGAAATAACGCATTTCCAAATTCCCTCCAGAAAAGACGTATACTTTGTCTGTTGAGAATACTCAACATTGAATTCCTACCCAGGATCCTTGCTGTTGAACTTTTCTCTGCTCCCACTCTTGCTCCCTGTTTCAGCTGTCACTAAACCTTCGTATTTTTATCTGGATGATTTCTCATTGTCTTTTCTATTTATTAAGCTAATGGTTGGGGTATTTGTTCTCATAATACTTTATTTCCAAAATCTTAAAGAACTTTTGCTCTATCCATTCTCATCATTCCTAGCCCATTCGAATGAATTCTTTTCAAGTAAGATTTCTGAATGATAAATCTCTCTGCACGCGCGCGCGCACACACACACACACACACACACACACACACACTTTTTTTTCTTTTTTCTGAGATGAAGTCTCACTCTGCCACCCAGGCTGGAGTGCAGTGGCGCAATCTTGGCTCACTGCAACTTCTGCCTCCCGGGTTCAAGTGAATCTCTTGCCTCAGCCTGTAGAATAGCTGGGATTACAGGCACATGCCACCATGCCTGGCTAACTTTGGTATTTTTAGTAGAGTCTGGGTTTTGCCGTATTGGCCAGGCTGGTCTCGAACTCCTGACCTCAAGTGATCGCCCACCTTGGCCTCCCAAAGTGTTGGAATTACAGGCGTGAGCCACAGCACCCGGTCTTTCTTTATATTTTTCATCTAATGAAAGTAGTTATGTTTTTGAGTAGCAAAGATAATATATTCTTATATAGAAATATAAGCCATATCACAAAGAAAGTAAAAAGTTTCTATTTGTTATGTGCATTTATAGTACTTTTTGAGATCCGTCATGTAGAGCCCCAGTGAAGCTGATTGAAAACAATTTGTCTGCTATCCTGGTTAAGACACCTGGAAGGAACAGGCTGTTTTGTCAGCTTGAACTTTGCCTCTTTTGTAACCCAACGTAAAAACTACATAAAACTCTTTTTTTAACTATGGATCATTGTGGGGTATAGTTTTTTACTATAAATTGTTGAAGATGTGGTTCCAGGAGTATGATGGCGTTGCCTTCCACCTTGCAGATTTAGGCTTTGAGGCTCGCTGTGGAGAGCATGGAGCCACAGCAGAGCTGGTTCATTTGCTGGTGGATGGGGACCCACTGCAGCCTCCGGATTACTGACACAGAGAGCAGGGGTCAGGGAATGAGATGGGCCTATCTGAGGACCCTGAACCTGAACCTGCTGTGCTCTCCTCAAGGTGGGAAGCAGAGGAGAGTCCTGGCTCTTGTTCCACATCCAAGCGGCAGGGATGAAGCATTTCCCCACCCCTGAATGTGACCTAAGGAAGTGTGTGCTCTGACCACTCAGGCCAGCTGCCTCTTCTCCCCAGAGAGAAAAGGACAGGCTCCCCAGATGGACAAACATGCATTCCTCATTACCCCATCTCCTGCCATGAGGAATAGGAAGCGGAAAGGATCTCTTCCCCATCAGCAGATTCAGAGGATGGGCAGGACACAGAAAACTATGGCTCAAAAAGAAAGTTAATATTTCAAGGTCATTCACTAGTGGTTGGTAGAGACTGAATGCAAACCCAGGTGGTTCTAACTTAAAACCTTAGCCCTTAATGGAAATAGACTTCAATCTTTAGGGTACTCCCTTTGTTGTAAACACGCAGAAGAAAGGTGATGGATTCGTAGTGACAGGGGTTTATGAATCAGCTGTGTCTTATTTGCATGTATTGCCCAGGGATTTGTTTGTGGTTTAAAGATTAAAAAGAGAGAGAAGAAAGCCCAGAAACTAGCTTTAGCCACAGAAGTGAACCCTAGCTTAAAAGGAGATAGACCTATGGGAGTTTTTCCAAGTCGTCATCCTTCACCGTCAACCCTTGCTACTCTGAGGTGACTCGATGCTATGTGACAGCTCATTCATTGGACTCAGTAAATTATATATGAAGAAATCAATTGACTTGACAAATTGCGATGCTGATCTATATGACCATATGTATATTATTATTTATGAACTGCGTAGAAGCAAAGCTAACAATTGCTGCCTGGAAAAAAAAAATGGCATATCACGTCTAGTATCAGGAGTTCTTAATCAGCAGCTTTTGAATTAAAAGTGGGGAGAGTATTAATTATTATGACCTGTACTTAAAGAAAAATCGTTTGATCGGTGGTTGTTCTAAGTGTTTTTCACATTTCTTTCAGATGTCGCCCATTTAATGTGGTTCGAAAGACTCTATGTTTGGCTTCAGTGTTTTGAAAAATATATCTTGTACCCAGCGCTAATTTTGAATGCCCTCACTATTGATGCATTTTCAATAAGCAATCACCGGAGACTTGGTACCCAGTAAGTGGATCATGGTTTCTTCTCATAATTATTTGGGTCACATTTTCAAAATTGAGTGAATTTCCAATAAACAGGCTGCAGAAAAAGCCAACCTTCACCTGCTGTTACTGGCCATGTAAAAATAAGCCATGGTGGTCTTTTACTCAAAGCCCACTGGAACTAGACACTTATTGCAGAGTGACTGGGGTGCAAATGAAGGTAGATCTGCTTGAAGTGATGTGAATAAATGTCAGTAGATTTGAAAATCATGCCGCAGAAGCTTAGTCAGTGAGCCTTAATAACAAGATGGAAGCACAGTGTGAGTCCGGGATTCCTGGAGTTCTTAACATCATGCTTAGAGCTTTATGAACTGCCTCATGTCATTTCATTTAGGAAATACTCTATCATTTTGTGCTTGGGGGAGGGGGAAATTAATCACTGTCACTGCCATCTCTGCATTTATCAAGAGAAGCCTCATAATTTAAAAACTGGCACAGAGACTTCATACTGTCAAGATGCCCATGTCTTTCAAAGCATTAACCATGTACAGTTGAGTTATTGGTTTCATATATTAAAATTAATTCTGAATTTACAACATGGAAATCTTGATAATCTGTGGATTTGTCATTCTGATGAAAGGGGAAAGTTGCTGGTCAAATAAGTTGTTAGAGTAGGAGGATGTAAAAGAGATGCTTTCTCAGATTTGCTCATTAGTCACGTTGCTTAAACACTGGGTATCCGAGTCAACCCTGATGCGTAATCCCAAACATACTAATGCAAACCTGCTCTTCCTTTCGGGGTGCCATGAGGGCAAATTGATTTATATTCTCCAAAGATTGAGCAGGCTAAGATAAAAGGCATTTTAATACTCCGTGGGACTTTGAGTACATTCACAGTCACACAAAACAGACAGGTTAAAGGAAATGATCCCATAACCTGTCCTTATTGGACTCTGCCTTCCTTCTAGTCCAGACCTGTTTCTGTTAGACCAGGGCAAGAATTCTATGTCCTTTGATACTTAGAAGTCTAGACTTCAAATCCAGGGATGGGAATTAGTCTCACTAGATTTGAAAAAAAAAAAAGGCAGATGATTGGACTTCAGACTCTTTATACAGTTTAGGTGGGACCCAGTGTAGGAGATGACCAGAATTTAGAACACCATGTGCTTCTCTAGGGCAGGGATTCCCAGTATGGTATCGTCCTGGTTGACCCTGTGACTCCCCCTGCCAGAACAAAGCAGAGCCTCAGTTTCTCGAATGGGGACACACATTCAAAGCCAGAGTAGCAAAGAAGGTACCAGTGGCACACTGGGAAATCCAGCTAAAGGATTTAAAGTTTTCCCTACTCAACTGTAGGACAAGGACCTAGAACTAAGGCTATGGGGTTAAGGCCAAGTTGTTAGAGAAAATAGATGCAAGGGCTAGAACTCCAGAAGAGTCGAATAAACCATTAAGAGAGGGTCCATTTGGAAGTACTATTATTCTCTATCCTCTGTAATTGTTTTCCAGACACTAAAGTCAGAAAGGTGCACCTTACCTACATAGCTCTGAATATGCTCAACTCCCAGGTGATAACATCAGAAGTTCTTTTGCTCAGAACCCAAACCTGGGAATTCCGTTCTATTCCTGATGCATCTGTAGAATTAAAAACAAAACAGTTGTCAAGGTTTCAGGCACCCTACTAGACCAACTGTTTTCAAACAGGATAGCAGGAAACCCTATATCAGTATCACTTTCAGACCTTCTAGCCCCTGCCTTCGATTTTTGAGAACCATTGTGTTAAATAGTCACAGAGTGAACTTTTCAACAGAAGGCACTGTTTCTTATTCAACTTTTCAATAGCAAACCACTAGAATGTGTTAGATGGATGAATGGGTGAACAATCATGTGAGGGTTTGGTAAATGAATGAGTCTGTGAACTGGGGTAACTTGTTAGGTGTTTTTGTATCTCAGCCTGATCTAGGTGGATGCTCTTCATCTGTTCCACGCCATTGTTCACCAGTTACTACCTCAGCCTTTATAAAACCTTCGGCCGAGTACAGTATATCTTCACGTAACATCCTGGATAAGTTCTTGAAAATTGTGACTTTAATCAAAACCAATACAAAACCAAATAAAACAAGTTTTATTGTAGGCTAATTGATAGAAACAAGAGCTAAGTTCTGTAGCATATTTCTGGTCACAAAAACATCACCACACTTCTAAATAAAGACCAAAACACTTCTAATATTAAACATTGAAATAAATGTGAATGATACATGTATTTAGGAAAGATTAATACAAATAGGTAGGATAATTATGTAACCAAATATTTTAGTTCAGGGTATCTGGTGGCTAGAGCCTGTCCTGGCAGCTCAGGGTGCCCAGTGGGAACCCATGCTGGACAGGACACCTCCCATCACAGAACACACTCACACCCACACCCACACTCACACTGGGACCATGTCAGCATGCCAGTGCACCTACTGTGCACACCTTTGGGATGTGTGAGGAAACCAGAGAACTCAGAAGAACCCACACAGACATGAGGAGAATGTACAAACTACACACCTACTGTGGGGTCTTGGCCAGAAATCTATTTTTTTTTTCTTTTGAGATGAAGTTTTGCTCTTGCAAACTCCAGCCTAGGCTGGAGTGCAATGGCGCGATCTCAGCTCACCACAACCTCTGCCTCCCAGGTTCAAGCGATTCTCCTGCCTCAGCCTCCCCAGTAGCTGGGATTGCAGACATGTACCACTACGCCTAGCTAATTTTCTATTTTTAGTAGAGACGGTGTTTCTCTATGTTGGTCAGGTTTCGAACTCCCGACCTCAGGTGATTCACCTGCCTCGGCCTCCCAGAGTGCTGGGATTACAGGCGTGAGCCACTGCGCCTGGCCAGAATCCATTTTTTTCTCATCAGTGTTGTACTGAAACAAGACTGAGTGAAGCAAGTTATTTGAGGACCTGCTGTATACAATGATCTATGAGCCATTAATGATAGCCATTACTACTGCAGTGTTGTAAAAACCATGAACATGAGCCCTTAAGGTCTCCCACAGTTTTAACCAGTCATCCCTACTAAACATAAAATGGATGCAGTCCATTGAACCTTGGTCACAGAAAACAGAAAGCTAGATTTGCTTCTCATCTGGATTTTGCCTGAATAACCCAGAAAATCAACAGTCTCCCCTGAAAACCAAAATATCTCTAAGTCTTAAGACACCTTATCATTGGGGTTTCTCTATAGGGTTTTGGCTGTCCCACAGGGGTTTTTGTACCTTGTGTTGTTGGCAAAGGCAACTGGACCTGAAGTCATATTTTCTTTTCCTTTTTTTTTTTTTTTTGAGATGGAGTTTCGCTCTTGTTACCCAGGCTGGAGTGCAACGGCGCAGTCTTGGCTCACCGCAACCTCCGCCTCCTGGGTTCAGGCAATTCTCGTGCCTCAGCCTCCTGAGTAGCTGGGATTACAGGCACGCGCCACCATGCCCAGCTAATTTTTTGTATTTTTAGTAGAGACGGGGTTTCACCATGTTGACCAGGATGGTCTCGATCTCTTGACCTCGTGATCCACCCGCCTCGGCCTCCCAAAGTGCTGGGATTACATGAAGTCGTATTTTCATATTGCATTTTCATCCTGGGCGTTACTTGCATACTGGAAAAGGAAGGCCAGTTATGGAGCAGCGTTCAGCCTTGCTTCAGGAACACTGAGGGCTCTGGGCTGAGGTTGAAGAAAAACTTCCCCACCTGAAGTATGCATGTAATCCAGTGCTAGTTTTTCTCAGAAGCCAAATCCAAAGCTGTTGTACAAGGCCTTGGGCAAACCTCATCTCACGCATCCTGAGGCAAGGTGGAAACAGTCGCACTCCTAGGTCTGAAGGCATTAATAAAACAGCAGATTGAGGAATATGGAATTTCCAACTTTTTTTTAATGATAAAAATGACAATTTTGTACTCCTTAAATAACCTCATTCTGAGATAAGATATTCACAATGCTAATGAGAGCCCTGAGTCCAAGATTCTTCTAGGTTGAGGGAAATTGAGGCATGGCCCTAGTTTTCTATCCTTAGCCAGGGAAAGAAAACCTCTCTTACAAGTGCAACCATTTTCTAGAAATGTTCCCACCTCTGTCTTGCAGTTGCTAAATATAATAGCACGTTAGAATTGGAGAGGAATTTGGTTAAAATTGCAGTGCCTTTCTTCGGAAAGCCAGGCCTTTCAAGAAGGCACTTGCCTGCTCTCTTGGGTTACAATGGGATGTGATCATTTGCGCTCCAATCTCTAGATAGATTGTTCATTGTTGACCTTATCATCTGGAGAATTGTACACATGACACCTACTCCCTACGTGGGTAAATAATAATAATCCAACTCCTTAGGCGAGAGCACTTGGGACTGCAGTCCTCAAGGCGAAGTCCTAGAAGAGTATTCCTTTGCCTGTTTTGCTGAGCTCCTTAACTGAAAAGGCCCATTCCATGAAGAAAAAGAAAATGATGATATAATTGTAAACAACAAAAAAAGAGAGAGCGAAAACCTTATGCTCACTAGGATGACAAATATGCTGAGAAACGTTAGAAATTAATATGTCGAAATAGAAAAGTCTTTATGAAGATACTGGATTTTGTCTCTATTCAGAATTTCATATCTGTTGTTATGTCACTGTTCCACCTGGATTATTTTCTCACGAAGAGGCATACACCAAGCTGACTCTAGCAGGGGCAGGATGTTGCCTGTTTTCTCATTTGGCATTAAACTTTCTGGGAAATGTCCATTATCACTGCAGTGGTGAGTTCAGATAAGCTCAAAAGGAACTCTGTGCCCTTGCTGGAGAACATGAGGGACTTTGAAGAGCATGTGATGGAAAGAAAATGTCTGTTGTAATGGCAAAGACAATGTTCTTGAGAGTCACTCAGGACTGAATTTCCATTTTTGTTCTGCCCCTGTGAGACCTTAGACAAGTTTCTCAAACTCCCTGAGACTCAATTTATACCTCTGTAAAATGCAGACAATAACGGGGACTCCTAGACTGGCTTTTTGTGCCTGTAAAATGCATAATGCACCATCAGTGTTGGAGAAATGTTAGCAAATGACACTCACCTAGCAGTGTGCATGCTGTCATTGATTGGGTCTTTTCTTTTTTTCCCCACAGCTGGGACATCTTTCTGATGATCACTGCTGGCATGAAGCTATTACGGACGTCATTCTGCAACCCAGGTTACCAGTTTATTAACTTGAGCTTCACTGTCATCTTTTTCCACTTTGACTACAAAGATATTTCAGAGAGCTTCTTACTGGATTTCTTCATGGTGTCCATTTTATTTAGCAAGGCAAGTGAATTAGCTATTTTCTTCACTTTAACATTTTAAAGGGGACAGTTCTCGTCACCTGTTCTGAGTTTAAAACTTATTCTTTATTAAAAATTATGGGAGAAAATGAAATTAAATTATACATGTATGTTAAACTCTTGCTGCCATTTGGAGAAAATTGCCCATGGAATGTGTATGCCATGTTATTTGCTAAAAATCACTAATTAAAATGAATTAGCCAATAGTGTGACTTTAAATTGTATTACCTTTTTCTTTGTTAACAATCTCATTATAAAACTTCTCTAGATCTTAGGCCAGGCATGGTGGCTCACACATGTAATTCCACCAGTTTGGGAGGCCAAGGCAGGTGGAACACCTGAGGTCAGGAGTTCAAGACCAGCCTGGCCAAGACGATGAAACTCTGCCTCTACTAAAAATACAAAAATTAGCTGGGCGTGGTGGTGGGTGCCTGTAATCCCAGCTACTCAGAAGGCTGAGACAGGAGAATTGCTTGAACCTGGCAGGCAGAAGTTGCAGTGAGCCAAGATCTCACCACTGCACTCCAGCCTGGGAGACAGAGCGAGACTCTGTCTCAAAAACAAACAAAAAAAACCCAAATAACCAAAAAAAACCAAAACAACACACACACACACACACACACACACACACACACACACACACACAAACTTCTCTAGATCTTAAAATGCTATGAATTAAAGATTAGTAACCAAGTTCACTGGTTCCTTCCTCCCTGTCTCCCTCCCTTCTTTCTTTCCTTCTCTCCTGCCTGCCTGTCTGCCTTCCTGCCTTCTTGCCTTCATCCTTCTCTTTTCTTTTTGCCTCTTGATGTAACTTTGAAGACCTGGTACCCAAGAGCAGGGTCTCTTGGAGTATTTCCAACACTTTTAGCTTGTCTCAAGTCAGGATTTCATCTATTAAGCAAATTTATACGTGAGCAATGAGAAATCCTACTTATAATTCAGGCAAAATATGGGGCTGATATCTAATGTTTAGTTAGTGTGAGGGAAATAAAATCCTCTGGATACTTGGGAGTTTCTCCATGACCATATCTAGTCTGATTACTGTAATGAAACCCAGGTTTATCAGCAGAGATAGACATTTGGAACAGCTCTTGGTGAATAAACTCAGCGATGACACAACTTCTTTCACATGGTGTTCACACTCACAGCCCCAGTTGAACACAGCCATGGGGTTTCTTCTCGAGACTGACTTCAGCACCATCTTTCCCCTTTTAGTTAACAATTTTTAAAATTTTAAAGCTCTCTAAATTTTAAATTAATTTTTTCCACCTCTGAGTCAGTACTGTTAATCTTTATTTTATTTCAATTACTTACCTTTTCCTTCTATTGCCTTTCTCTTGGATTCTCTTAGGTAACAAAAAAAAAAAACCTCTCATACTGTACTAAAAGAAGCCCCATAAGTAATTACCACCACCTCATATTGCATGCAAGTGTCTTTTTTTATTTTATTTATTTATTTTTATTTTGGAGACAGAGTCTCACTTCTTCACAAACACAGTGCCACTCACAGGCTGGTGTGCAGTGGCACAATTATTGCTCACTGCAGCCTCTAACTCCTGGGCTCAAGTGATCCTCCTGTCTCAGCCTCCTGAGTACTGAGACAATAGGCATGTACTACCACCATCTGGCTAATTTTGTAAAAACTTTTTGTAAAGATAGGGTCTTGCTATGTTGACCAAGCTTGTCTCCAACTCCTGGCCTCAAGTAATTCTCCTACCTTGGTCTCCCAAAGTGTTGGGATTACAGGCATGAGCCACTGTGCCTGGCCATAGGTTTCCTCTTATAACTCTAATTGGGTACTAATCTTCAGTCACCTATGTCTCTCCTGTGTCGTCTTCCATTGGTTTCTCAGCCTACTCCAATTTCTGTATTTCCTTGTAGACCCTGGCCTTGGTCAAACATTTGTTTCCTGTTTGTGTGAGTTCTGTTTTGTTCTGATTAACTTGTCCCATTTTTCTTACTGTTCAAATTACAGGCTTCCATAAGCTCTTTTCCTTCATTATGTATAAATTTCTGTTATCTCACATAATAAATGTAGGATTATATCCTATAATCTTTAAACTATTTGTGAAGTTACTAGAAATTATTTCACTGTTTGCAGGGGTAAGAGTTTATCCCTAAACTGGCCCAGCGCAGTGGCTCACACCTGTAATCCCAGCACTTTGGGAGGCTGAGGTGGGTGGATTACTTGAGCTCAGGAGTTCGAGATCAGCCTGGGAAACATGGGGAAACCCAGTTTCTACAAAAAATACTCAAATTAGCCAATCTGGGTGGCAGGTGCCTGTATTCCCGCTACTCGGGAGGCTGAGGCAGGAGAATTGTTTGAACCGAGGAGGTAGAGATTACAGTGAGCTGAGATCACGCCGCTGCACTCCAGCTTAGGTGACAGGAATGAAACCCTGTCTCAAATTCAAAAAAAGAAAAAGATGTAAAATGTGCCAGAAGGAGTTCAATTCCTGACGTTCCTGACTCTGGCATTATTTACATTTTGACATGATGGTGTTTATATTTCTTTCTGAGCCTCAGTTTCCTGTCATGTGGAAAGTAATAATGCAAAGTCATTTGAGAGGATTTGTCAATATAACTGAAAACAGTTAAGTAGGACATACTCTCCAATGAAAGGTCATGTTTTTAAAGCTGTATGTAAGTAGAAAAAGAGAAATTACACACTGCTGTTTGTAAAGGGATGTGGCCACTTTTCCACACTGACCTGTCAGTTTTGTATCATCTGTATTAGTGGGTAGCCCCAGGTGAACAGAAGAGGTTTCTTTCTATAAGAGTCCTAGAGCATGGCTTCTAAATGATTCCTTCTCTGTAGTAAGAAAAGTGGCTTTCATTTATGGAACCACGGGCCACCTTTCTGCATTCTGACAGCATTCTGCACTGGCAGCAGTCTACTGACAAAAATATGTGGCTCAGAGTGGGTATCTCACCAAAGGGGCTTGCAAGGAGCAGAGAAAGGCAGTAAGCATGGCTGTTGGTCATCCTTCTAGTCCATGCAGACACTCAGTGACATCCTGTGCAGAATGGGGAGGGTGGAACCTGACAAGAACATGATCCAGGCCAGGCACGGTGGCTCATGCCTATAATCCCAGCACTTTGGGAGGCCAAGGCAGACACACACCTGAGGTCAGGAGTTTGAGACCAGCCTAACCAATGTGGTGAAACCCCGTCTTTACTAAAAATACAAAAAAAAGATTAGCCAGGCATAATGGCGGGCACCTGTAATCCCAGCTACTCCGGAGGCTGAGGCAGGAGAATTGCTTGAAGCTGTGAGGCGTAGGTTGCTGTGAGCCAAGATCTCGCCACTGCACTCCAGCCTGGGCAACAAAGCGAGGCTCCATCTCAAAAAAAATAAAACAAAAAGAACATGATCTAAAAAATCCACAAATACTTAGTTGTGCAGGCACTTTGCCATCACCTTTTTGAAGCACCAATTAAAATATGAATAATTTCAGATAGAACCAGAGCAACAGCTTCCTTATTGTCTCTAATTGAGGGAACATTAATTAGCACATACTGTTTGAATAATCCAGTCTTAGGCTGGGATAATAGCTAAGTGTCAAAGGAAAAAAAGAAAAATTAGTGAGACAAAAGCTAGGAAAAGAGGCGGCAAGTCGGAAGGTGGGGATTCTGAGTCCTGGTCCCTCTTGCCTCCCGCAAATGCCTGGTCACTCCTTAGCTTTAGAGAGCTGGTGACAATGAGTTTTCTGCAATGAGAAGCATGATCTTATTGCCTGATAAAAAAGAATATAGTGAAGGAAAGAGACAGTGTTTGTGATTTTCCTGGAAAAAAGCCAGTAGATATTAGTGACAGAAGATGATCATATCAAGGAGAAGTTCACAGTTAAGGTCTTCCATAAAGATTCTGCCTCGAAGTCCTAATTGATAGCTCCTTTTCATTCTGCTCATTTTAATATATCATTTTCAAAAAAAAATTATCTTTGAATGTATTTCCTAAGGGCTTTCTAGAAATCTCCACTGTTGTGCTTATAGGCAATCCTGCTCTCTGGGGCGATTCCTTGCACACTGTGAAATGTTACTTGTCCACTAGACTCATGTACATCCTGCTTATAACAGGGCCTGTCATCTGACCACTGCAGGTATCCCCCAGCCCTCCCTCAGCATTGCTCCTGTTTTACTAAATAGAGAAGTATTATTAGCCTGGCAACCCCCCTTACAGAAGGGCCATGAGGTTAATGAGGCAACATTTGGTTGGGTACTCAGTTTCCTTGGAAGAAAGGAGCTGCACAAATACAGGACACAGTATTATTTTGAGTCAGTTGCCTCTAATCCCTCGGACTTTATGAGTAGAAAGGGAGGAGAGAAGTGATTAGTGGCAAAGTAAGATCAAAGCGCCAGGAGGCCAAGGAAGGAAACAGATGGCTTCCAGAGGGCCCAGGCCCTGCCCACGTGATATTCTCTACCTCCCTAAACCCCCAAATCCCCCAGTGCCCCTGAAGTCTGGAGGATGAATATTGCCTAGTCTCTTCAGTCTGCCAGACCTGGTTTAAAAAAAAAAAAAAGGAAATATTGAGTTCCAAGGCCAGAATCCACTAGGACAAATTAAGTACAGCTCATGTATTACAGGGTGGGTGGGACACTTTCTAGTGAATGTTGCCCTGGGCTTGCATGTGTATAGATATGTGAGTGGGTTTGGGGAGCGGGGAGGTGGGTAGGAGGACAGTGAGAAAGAAGGGCTCCTGTATGTCCCTTCCTGAGTCATATGACCCTCCAACCACACATCCTTTTCCCCCATTCCTTCATTTCCTCAATCCCTTCCCTCTCTTTATCTTGCTTTTTCAGTCATTCTTCTCTTTTAAGAACTTTTGTTATTCATTGGTGACATTTCTGGTATGTCTCAGTCTTTAGGAGACAGTAAAACATGCAGATAAGGATATTTAGTTGCAAGGAATATTGATTGTTACAGGAGCAAAGATGGCAAAGCCTCTTTCCTGCCCTCCCATTGGCCCTGAAAAA